TCCAACTCTAACATGTCTACGGAGGACATGGTTCGGACTATGGCTACCAACATGACCACCATGCAAAACAACCTGATGCAATTCCAAAATGAGACCAAGTCTAGCATTTAAAACTTGGAAACTCAAATGAATCAAATAGCCGGAGCCGTGAGTAGGCTTGAAGCAAGGGATTCGAAAAAACTTCCTTCTCAAATAGAATGTGATCCTAAACAACAAACTTTTGCAATCACATTGACAAATGAAAAGGAAATGCAAAAGGAGATCCAGAATCCAGAAGAAGTAGAGGAAGAAAAAGACACAGAGCTTCAACTGGTCAAAGAAGAGGATAAGCTGAGCTTCAAATTCAAATTTTTGTCCTTGTCATCCTTTGAGGTATCTCCATCATCTCTGGAAGCTTTAAGAGAAACTCGTAAACTTGAAAAGGACAATGATATTTCTGAAATCTTCTTCACAATTGAGGGATCGAAAAACTTTTCATTGACCATACTAAACGATAATTTCTTCCCTTTCCTCCCACCACATGAATCAATGAAAATCTGGATATTTGATCCTCGAAAGATTTCCAAAGTGAAGAGTCGAGAAATTGAGCATTCCTATGGAAGTCATAGGAGTGAAAGTTTGAAGAAGATAAACTATCATGATCCAAGTTTGAATGACTGAACACAATGATAGCGTCGTGCCGCAACGTTAAATGAGGCGCTTCTTGGGAGGCAACCCATGCAAGGTACGTTTACTTGTTTTATTTTATTTTTGCACATTTCAAAAAAAAACTGGGGAGTGGACCCGGGCGGGTATCTTATTTCACCCGGACGTGTGTGTTCGTAAAAAGGCACCTGGAAATAAAACAATCACCCGGGCAAATATTTTTTTGGCAAAACCTGGCCGGCCCCTGAAGTAAATTACCCGATCAGGTACCTTTAATACACCCGGCCGGGCATTTTTGACAAAAACATTCTCGATAAGCGGGAGTTAGGCCCGATCGGGTACATTACCCCACCCGGCCGGGCGTCGGGAATGTTTCCACAAAAACCGAGATGGCATCCTCTTCTTCCTCATTTCATCTTCTGCATACACGAATCAACTCCGCCAAAACACCATTTTCAAACCCCATACATTTGAATCTTCTCTGTTTCTACACCAAATCCATCAAAAAAACCATTTTCTTCATCTCCTCTTCACCCTCTTCAGTACTAAACTCCATACATTGACACACTACACCCACAAAAACCTCCCAAATAACCAAAAATCCAAATCCCCTTACTCCACAAACAACAAAAGCTGAAATTTCCTCAACCAAAAAGAAAATAAATGACACCAAAAAGGGCAAAGAGATTCATTCTATTGGACATCTCGGACACAAGCACTAGGGACAATGCTTTGATTAGCTTGGGGGAGAATTTCATGGAAAACTCACATTCATACTCTATATTCTTGTATTCTTCTATACTCGCATTTGATATGCACTAATTAGTAGTGCATAAATGTATCTTTTTATGTTTGATTTGTGTGGATTATTTACCATTTTATTTAGTTTGTAAACATTTATGTGATTTTAGTTGTAATTGTATTTTAGTTCTCATTTGTAAGTTGTAAAGTAGAGTTAGGATTTATGGTGTTGGAAAGGAAGACTTTGAAGTGAAGAAAAATGATTATTGGCTGCCCAGAACAATCACCCGGTCGGGTAAGACATTGAAAAGCGAAGGTGGCTGGAAACTACAATCACCCGGTCGGGTGAGGTATTGCATCCGGTCGGATCTGACTTGACCCGGGACATTTTAACGTGCCGAAGATCACCAGAACGTGGAGGATATTTGATTTTGACTGGACCCGGTCGGGTAGGCACTTGACCCGGTCGAGTACCCAGCCCAAGGTGTTGAAAAACACCTATAAATATATCAACAAGTGGAAAGTAGCAATGCCAAGTTCTTTTATCTTTGAATTAAATCACATATAAGTCGTTCAATTTAGTGTTTAATTAAATTAAATCATTCAACTCCAAAAACCCCTTTAATTAGTAGTTCATAAAAAGAGAATTATTCCTTTCCCTGTGGACACGAACTCTACTTCACTATACTACGTATTAGTGTTAAGTATTGAATTTATTTTGACGCACCGTGACAAAGTGCGCGTCAAATTTGGCGCCGTTACCGGGGAAAGGTAATTATTTTTCTTTTTATTTTATTTCAAAAAAAATTATAAAAAAAAATTAAAATAAAAAAACTACTTTTCTATTTTTTGAGCTTACATGAGTATATGCATACCAACACGTCATCCTTAGAGAGTCAATTTCCGTTTTGGCTTCTCTCATAAAAGAGTTTATCTTAAGCTCAGAAACTCAAGATGTCAAGACCTGCAATATTTGCATGTCTCACAGGCATATTACGAATTTTTGCCCAAAGCTCCAAGAAGAATACCTTGAACAAATTGATTATGTACCTCACATGAGGTATGATCCATTCTCCAACTCTAACATGTCTATTTGCAGCTCTATTGTCTAGAAGATGGTTTATACTACATTTTTTGCCAGGGGTGACAGAAGGTGGCCGCCTAATTTAAGGAGATGCTGTCAAGTTGTTAATCCTGGAGCAGGTGAAGGCGTGATTGCTGCTGATCTAGGCCTATTGTTGAGGGGGGAGGGTAATGAAGACGTATTGTTGGAAATACTAGCTAGGCTACCACATAGTCGAAATGCGGTTGATGCTAAAACTGGTTATGTTGTCTTGCAAAAATTTTAGTCCCTGAACAGAAAAGAAAGAAATTTGGGTCTAACACTGTTGATGCTATTTTTATTGGTTATGTTGAACATTCTTATGCATTGAGATTTTTGGTTATTAAATCTGAAGTTTCTCGCATAGATGTCAATACTATTGTAGAACTTCGTGATGGCTACTTTCTTTGAAGATGATTTTCCAATGAAAACGGGTGTGCCCCAAAATACTTCTTTTAAAAATCAAGAAACCACATTGATGGAGTATATGGCCCAGGAACCCCCGACCCACAGACTCCTACTTCTCCTACACGGGTCCATCAAGCCCAAATGAACACATAAAGCCCAAACGTAGCGGCCCAAGCATGAAGAAGCCCATGGTGCACACGTAAATGTCTTTGGCCCTGTGGCCGAAAGCTCCAAATTCTGGGAGACATCTTAATATGGTCCTGCAAAGTTTCTGGGAAATTCTGGCTAAAATGTTAGCCTTCGGTTGCGTCATGCCCTCGGCCACACGATGCCTTCGGCCACATGATGCCTTCGGCCACATAATGTCTTTGGCCACATGATGTTTTCAGCAACAGCACTATCAACAAAGATTCCTTTTAGAGACAGGCAACCACTGCATTCAATGCGGCGTCACATCCAACCACCGCTTTTAATGCGGCCACGTGCGAATGTCAGTGCCACCCCGATTGAGGTGACCCTCGGCCGTCAGATGCTTGACACGTGTCCTCTCAATTATTGATCTAACATTTATCGCTGCTATAAATAGCAGCCCATTTTTCCATTGTAACGGACAACGAATTCATTCAATACATACTCACTCTCTCTTACTTGCTCTGACATCTTTCTAGGTTATTTACCGTAATAACCCCTCGGATAAGCTACCCCCGGGTACACTATCCATCACACATTTAATTCAATTCCCGATCAAGTGGAAAAGATGACAAATGTGGGGGTAGAATCTAGTAATTCTAGTCATATTGATTTTGAATCTAATGATCTAGATGAGCCGAGAAGGAGCAAACGAGCTAGGATCACTAAGGATTTTGGAAATGATTTTATCACTTACAATATTGAGGGTGATCTAATTTCCTTTAGAGATGCAATGGCTACATCTGAGACCATTTATTGGAAGGATGCCATTAAAAGTGAAATGGACTCTATTGTTTAAAATAGAACATGGGAGCTCGTTGACCTTCCTCCTGGTTGTACTACTATTGAATGTAAATGGATTTTTAAAAAGAAGTTAAAACCAGATGGAACCATTCATAAATATAAGGCCAGATTAGTTGCTAAGGGTTATAAACAAAAAGAAGGTATTGATTTTTACGATACATATGCTCCTGTTGCAAGAATGACCACGATAAGAATGCTCATAGCATTGGCCTCCGTATATGGTCTTAAAATTCATCAAATGAATGTTAAGACAACTTTTTTTCATGGTGACCTTGAAGAAGAAATTTATATGGATCAGCCTGAGGGGTTTGTGACAAAAGGCAATGAGAGAAAAGTTTGTAAATTAGTTAAGTCTTTCTATATATGGACTTAAGCAAGCCCCTAAGCAATGGAACGAAAAATTTGATAAAATAATTTTTTTCGTTTGGATTTACTCTTATAGATGCTGATCAAAGTGTTTATTATAAATGTAAAGGTGATATAAGCATTATTTTATGCCTATATGTTGATGATATATTATTATTTGACACTAATGATAATTACGTTTCATCTAGTTCAAATTGTAAATATTAATATATTAAAAGATCAAGGAATTCATGAATTATTACTCACACGCACATATTGACATATATATGTGTGTATTTGTAGTATATATAGTTTAAAAAAAGATATACGTTTATATATTGAGCGGGTCGGGATGGGTCAGGACGTCACGAGTCAATACGAATACCCGACCCCGCCTCATTATATGCACGGGGCGGGCAGGACCCGCCCCATTCGTAACGGGGCAGGGCGGGTCTCTACGGGTCTTTTTTTTTACATGCCTAATCTAGTACTACCTTTGTCTTACTATTATTTCGTTTTATTAAACTATTAAACTTTTGTGAAGAAAAGTTTACTAAAAATTAGTAATGGAATTAATAAAAAATTAAATAAATCAAAACCTATGAAATGTTAGGTCCTAAATTGATAGTTTTCCATCATTCGGGTCTCATACCGATACGTTTCAACTTTCGAGTCTTAAATTAATAATTAATCTATCTTTCGGGTACTGAATTGATAAAATTCCTTATAAAAACTATACTGGTATGAACTAAAGCAATACCCAGCGGGCAAAACATTACTAGTATAAGACTATTCGAAGTCCCAAATAACATGGGATTGCTCGAGGTGAGGCGGTGAAGCAATCAATAAAAACAACAATCGATCAGAGTTTCATTCGTTACGGAGGCTGCAAATTTACGACTTCGAGTGATGGCAAAGAGGCTGTTCAGCGGCGAATTCCAGGTTTATAATTAGTTTCTTTGAGATCGGGTCTTCACTAATAAACATTAAATCTCAGTTGCCGTTGTTCGTTGTTATTATTGTTTTTCCGTTTATTCAATCGAAACCACAACGAAGCTTTGTAATTAGAATTAGAACAACCCTAGAGCAGATCCAGTTGTCTAGAAGATGGTTTATTGCTTGATTCCCTAAACGAGTTTTTGCCAGGGTGACAGAAGGTGGCCGCCTAATTTAAGGAGATGCTGTCAAGCTGTTAATCCTGGAGCAGGTGAAGGCGTGATTGCTGATCTAGGCCTATTGTTGAGGGGGGAGGGTAATGAAGACGTATTGTTGGAAATACTAGCTAGGCTACCAAATAGTCGAAATGCGGTTCAAGCAGGGCTGGTTTGTCACCTTTGGCATTCCATCATCTCCCAGCAGCAGTTTATTCCCAAGTTCATAGGCCTGCGGGAGCAAAAGAAGATAGAGCAGCCTTATTCCATCATATTCCGCATAGTAGATGGTTTTAAGTATTTCGGAGATGCCTATTATCAGTCCATCTGCAAACTATTTTCGCAAGAATCCATGCTTCTCCACGGGGGAGGAAAAGAGCAGACGGTGACATCACGTAGAAGTTATCCTCCTTCAGGCGGCAGTGGCGGCATCCAGCCGCCTTCACCCACATGGTCATAAGAGCATCTTGTGGTGACTTGCTGCTGTTGTCGCAAGGCACACGCGACTATAGACCTGATCGTAGCTTCTACTTTCTTTGTAACCCAGTAACCAAACAGTGGTTCTATCTCCCCCGTGATGATTTCAGAGATTACTTGATTGGGCTTGCAGTAGTACGCATGCCGCTCGCCCATAACAGCTGTGGCAGTGATGAATACAAGGTGGCTTTCATTCGTCTTCCCTATGATTGGCCACAAAAGGATGTTGGTGGGGGGGGGGGGGGACAGTTGGAAGTTTGGAATGCCAATTTATTGTTTAAAATCAAGGCAATGGAGTGATAATTGTTGGTATCGATATCCTGTACCTGCTACCACTAGGACCCCTAAGCTTTTCATTAACCCAATTACTTGTAATGGAATCCTGACTGCATCATTGCCTGTGATTTGGTGAACGAGCCCTACTCTAGTGCCTTTATCAACCTTCCTGAAGGCTCTATGCCTGGTGGCGGGGGTGTTGTTTCACTAGAGTTGGGCGCTGTCCTGGGAGAACTGAGATTATTCAACGTATTCCGCCCTTCCTCGGGTGACCAGCAGCAGCCTCAGCATCTCGTTGTTGTTAAAGTTTGGAAGTTGAATCACAGAACCAACTCCTGGACTCTCGTTCATGACACACGCTTCAATGATAGGCCGTCGCCGCTTAATGACATCCAAGTAGTAGAAGAAAACAAGTTCAACATCCGTACGGTTGCTTTCCATCCACACGATGGGGACGTGGTCTTCTTGGTATGCGGCTGTGGTGTTTTCCGGTATCACATTTCACAGGGTGTGTATGAGAAAGTCGATGAGCTCCTTCATTCCGTGCCTCCAAATCAGCTTCTTACGTCCTTCACTCTCCTCCACTCTATCTGGCCTACCACCATGTTACTCTCTCCTTCCGAATAGAATAGTATTGTTATCGTTATATTTGACTCTATTACCGTACATATACCATTGTGAAAAAGTGATGAACATTATTGGTCAAGAGTGTAATCTCGACCATGAGGCTTGTCAACTCTTGTCCTACATTTATCTGTTTAGTACCCTTTGTGCTTGCATTTCATTCTTCTCCTCCCGCAGCTCCTTTTTTCTTGTGCTCACTCTTTCGTTTGCTTTAGATGTAACCAATGTTGAAAATATCTCTATCGGTTGTACATTTGACACTTCATTCTTTAACAGTATCATTTGATAATATGCTATCACAAAAAGAATATTATGTATTACATGTGTCGGAAGTAAATGCCATATAATTATATAAAGGACCTACTTTTTATATTTAACGAATACATTTTGGTAAAATGATATTTTATTTTTAGTTTTATATGTTCACTCCATTTTTTTAACTAATACTACGTACTATGTGCTATATATGTAGTTCCTTGCTCTGTCGCTTTTGTGAGGTTTGCTTTCAAATCATCCTTCGGCAGCTCCATATTTATCCGTTATTTTCAAATGATCCTTTCTGCTCCTCAATCCATGTTCTTTATATGCCTGATGACTTTTGACTACTACACAAAAACTAGAATTGCCAAAGCAATTGTTTGCTTATGTAGAAACACCTTAAGATAATGGAACAGTAGAAAAGTTCCTTATGGATATTTTGTTGTTTTGTTATCTTAATTGCCTCTCTATGTATCACTACCTTAAGGAAATAAAACAGTAGGAACACCTCATTGATCCCTGCTGTGCATTTTATGCTCATGTATTCTAGCCTTTGTAATCTTTCCTGTTTCCACAGAGTGTCAGTGTACACTAACATCATTCTTACAACTTTGCTCGGTGTACACCATTTATGTACACATGTCTGTCCCCAGCAGACAAGTTGTTTGTCCACAGACAACTTGTCTGCTGGGGACAGACATGTGTGCACAAATGGTGTACACATTTGGTGTAGGGGTGGACCGGTTCCGGTTCGGGCCCGGTCGGGCCTCGGTTCATGAAAGGGGAGGCCCGGAACCGGCCCGGGTAACCCCGGGTCCGGGTCGGGCTGGGCCTCGGTTCATTTTTTTTGCTTTTCCTAATTAACCCCCAACCCTCCCCCCTCACCCCCAAACCACCCCAAACCACCTCAAATGGCCCATCATACCTAGTCCAACCCAAAAACTTAAAAAAAAATTCAAAAAAAAAAAAGAAAAATAAATAAATTGGCCCGGACCGGGCCCGAACAGGCCGAGCCGGTTCACTATTTAGGAGGCCCGGGCCTGAACCGCCTACCTCACCGGGCCGGTTGGCCCGAACCGGGCACCAACCGGTTCACCGGGCCGGTCCGGACCCGCACAGTAGCAGGTCGGTCCGGTTCCGGGCCGGTTGGCCCGGCCCGACTCCAAGCCTAATTTGGTGTACACTAAGCATTTTTCTCATTCTTAGGATCATCAAGAAATCTAATCTCCCACCAACATTCATAGATACAGCTTTTAATTTCCATCGACAGAGTTGATGTTTTGTTCAATTTCAATTTTACAAATCATGTCATATTCCTACACTGCCGCACAAGTGCACAATAATCATTCAAATATGAGTTTAGTACAAATTAAAATGATTCAGATGATTCAAAAGCCGAAACAGAAAAGAATTAAAGAATACCTTAGTGACTAGATAGCGCCACTAAAAAATTGAATCACTATCCACTACCGCCGGAGATATTTATATCTGGCTTTGTAGAGTAGATCCAGTGGTTTTTGTTCGCTATTGGTTACCAATTACAAGATAGTGTTACATATAAGTATGGTTGGACTCGGGTCGGGCCACCCGGGCCGCTACTGTGCAGGACCGGGACCGGCCCGGTTCTCGGATCCGGGTCCGGGTCGGGCCTAGGCCCGGGGGTAGGGCGGGTCCGGGCTCGGGTCTCAAATTTGGTGAACCGGCCCGGCCGGGTCGGGGCCCGGGCCCGGGCCAAATTGATTTTTTTTTTTCATTTTTTTTTTCATTTTTGGGGTTCCACCCGGGTTGGGCTTGATGGGTAGGATGGGTTTGGGGGGTTTGGGAGGGTGGGGGTGAGGGGGAGGGTTAGGAAAGCAAAAAAAAAAACCAAACCGGAGGCCCAGACCCGGTGGCTACCCGGGCCGGTCTCGAGTCCACCATTTTTGAACCGCCGGTCCGCCCGGGCCTAGGCCCGACCCGGACATGAGTTCACCTCTACATATAAGTAAGAGATAAATTTACCTTAAGGATCTTTTTGGGGTGAGCTACGTCTAATAACTAGTGTTGGATTCGGTTCGGGCCACCCGGCCCGGCCCGCTACTGTGCGGGCCCGAGACTGGCCCAGTCGGGCGGTTCGGGACTGGGTGTAGACCCGAACCGGCGGGGAGGGCGCGGGCGGGTACGGTTCCTGAAAAAGTTGACCCGGCCGGGTCGGGCCCGGGTCCGGGTCCAACGGTCCAATTTAAAAAAATGTTGGGCCCCAAACTAGCCGTTATGGCCTTGGGGGTGGGCTGGGGACAACCCAAACGGCTATATAGCCGTTGGGTGGGGTGCAGGGGGGGTGTAAAAAACACTATAAATACTCCTAATCTTAAACATTTTTTCATATCCCTTCTCCAATTCTTCTTAAATCATATTCTTAACTCTCTACTCTCTAATTCTCTTATTCTCCAATATATTATATTTATTATTTATATATCTACTTTATAGTTTATACTTAAGAAGTTAAGATGAAAAATCAAGATGCCATTATACGGTATAATTTTGATAAGCAGAAGGACCTGAAGACCGGGATGTGGTATGCAACTTGCAAATGGTGCGGTAAAAAATGTAGCATGGGGATTTCAGGCAGATACGGGATGGCAATGAAGCATATGAAGTCATGTGACAAAGCCAAATGATCGGGAGGTGCGACAAGTTCCGATTGATTACAATTTTCAAAATGTTTCTCTTAAAGTTTGTTTTAATTTTCAAATGTAATTACTATTTCATTTCAAATAAATGCACTTGCAGTTTGTTTTAATAATTGTATAAAACTATAAACTATAAAATATAAATTAAAAAAAAAACTTTAACCGGCCCGCCCCCACCCGGCAGGTGGCCCGACCCGTGACCCGGGCAGGTGGCCCGGCCCGAACCGGACCCGTTCAACCCTCGGGCCGGTCCCGGGCCCATGTCATACAAACCGGCGGCCCGACCGGGCCGGACCCGACCCGGCCCAACCCAGCCTGAGTCCACGCCTACTAATAACCATATAATATGCATTCCGAGTTTGGTCTGAACGTGGTTCATCCGTTCATGTGTGTATTTCAAGTTGCAACACATGATTTGGGTTAGCACATTTGCAGTCAACTGTCAACACATGATTGGGTTGCACCTTTTCTCTTTTCATTACAATACCTCAAACAAGGCAACAAATGAACATGACCAACTGCAACTCTTCAAGGGGAAAACACGGCCAGTTTATAGAACCAAATAGAACCCTTTTGGTAACCATGCTTTTCAACTTTCCATTTGATTTCACGCATTGGGATGGATCCAACCGGTTCGAACCGGCCCGGGAACCAGACCGGCCCACTACTGTGCAGGCCCATCCCGGACCAGGCCCGGATGACCAGTTCCGGGCTTTAGCGCGGTTCCCGGGCCCGGTTCTTTTTTTGTTTTTTTGGTTTTTCAATTTTTTTTTATCTTTTCCTTGAGTAGGGCTGGTTGTTTTGGGGGGTGGTTGGGGGTGGGGGTGAGGGAGGGGGTCGAGGGTTAATTACAAAGCCAAAAAAAATTACCTTGAACCGGGCCCGGACCGGCCCAGCCCGGACCCGGTATCAACCCAAGCCGATTCCAGGCCCAACATCCTGGAAAAAAAGCCCGGCTTGAACCGGACCAGAGCTCAGCCCAGCCCTGGTCCATGCTTATTCACACATTGAATTATGTAACAATAAAAAAAATAAAGTAGAAGTTACTATAGATGATTATTTTAACTATTTGCACATATAGTTTTTTATTTATTTTATTAATGAAATATATGTTTCACTAATCGACAGAATCAGCCAATTAAACCATTTTTCAGCCAGAATTTCATAAATTTCAACAAAAGCGACCAATTTTGGTATTACAAACGGCTTATAGAATAATAGAACCAAATAACCAATGCAACATATGGCAAATTATGAGTGAGAAGACCAATTCTTGCTGCTCGCCCAAACCCACCCACCCACACCTGCTTCCAAGTCTCAACTCTCAAACACTGTACCGTTCTATACTTGCTTTGTTTTGTTTCTAGTAAATAGAGCCAAAAACAGAACCAACGAAACTATCACATTATGTGCTGTACATACATCTTTGGAAATAATGTGTTTTATCTTTAAGCAAGACAAATGAAAAACAAGAGGCACAAACAAGATAAAGCTACTGAAAAATGCATTATTCACGTTCGTTTTGTTTTCTACAACGGAAGTAGAAAACTCATCACAAAAAGGAAGACCATTTTAGGATTAGGAAAAGAGATGCAGTCAAGCAAATGCATTAAGCTACTAAAAGGGAACATTAGTCCCAATACAAAGAATCATGAAACAAGCAACTACCAGCCTTACCTCACCTAGTCTAAAGGAAGGAACCAAAGTAATAATCTTAGCAATATATTACACTCGAAAAGCACACCAGTTGTCATACCCCACATTTGAAGTCAACAGGGGAGCGGCTTACCCAGTGTATCCCTGCACGTTAATAAAAGATAGGTGATATTAAATGGCTGTCATATCACATTCTTAGCCAGCAGCAATAGGGCATTTTCAAGACTTAGACATAATTTAGGAGGAAGTTTGAGACAGAAAATATCAAAGCAGGTATGTCCATGCTTTTACTAAGAGGCCGTTTTGTAACACTGAAATTAGCTGAAGCGATTGATTCTACTAAAATTAATGAGAGCTAAATTGATTGATTTTGATGATTTGTGAAATAATTATATCTCAAGCATGTTTTTATTAATAAAATAAATAAAAATATATATGAAAAAATAGCAAAAATAGCCAATTCAGCCATAAAAGTAACTTCAATTTTACTTATTATTATTATGATTATAACACAATTCAACGCGTGAAATCATAAGTTACGTGCTTGGTGAAAAAGTCGGGGCTGAGAAGCTGAAAACATGGTCACCAAACGAGCCCTAAACAAGTTTTTCACTGAATATGAAATAATATTTTTTTAGATTTTAGGGGTTATTGATGTACTTCTCTCAACAATAACAAAAAAATCATTTTTAGTGCTAGTAAGAAAGGGTACATA